CTGTAACGTAATACAATTACACGATATAATCAGTAACGAGCGTATACGAAATGTCAGTCTTTTGTGCAAGATAGATGATCAGAGGAAGAATATCGTTCTTCAGAAACGAATCGAAACAATTTTTCGTTTCGTAAAAATAACGCTCGAAGAATATTTTAAAGGGGAGTTTAATTCAATTAAATTGCATGCGAAACATCTTCTTGGAGTACGCGAATCTCTTTTACATCCAGAGCGTTGTGTTTTTCTAAAATTTAGCTCGTGTAAACTTTCCATCAAAAATATTTATCACGTAATACGGGCCAACTCGAGTTATCACTCGAGATATCGGAAATTATCTGCACGAATTAAAATAAAGAAGTTATTCGGTCATGGTATAATTTTTGATTGTTGAAATTGCGAATACAGTTATCACTGATAATTCCAACTGGTGAAAAATCAGGTTCCATATCATCATAATTCGCGATAGATCGAGGAAACTGGAACATCGAACGGTATAATAGCGGAATATACGGCAAGGGGGAAAATGGAAGGTTCCATTAAGGAGAATCCATCCAAGTTCAGGATACGAGACAAAGTGTTTTGCTTATTCGAGACTCTTTTTTTTTTTTTTTTTTATCTGGAAGAGCTTTTCGTGTATCGAATAATGCGAATTCTTCCGACACTTTTGCTTAAGAAGATATGTATTTCTCCGAACTTAATGAAATTGAGATTATACCATTCGTAACCAAGTTCGAACAACTTTGTTGCTTAACGACGTACACACTGCTCCGGAAGCTCTGAACAAGTTTACGCGATATTCGATAATGGCGTAATTCTATTAACCCTTTTGCTAATGCTCCATCCGTCCAAAAGCGCAAATTGTTCCCCACGAAGATGTTCCTCGTGAGATGGAAGAAAAAGAGTTGGTTAAAAAGGAATCGGTCAAAAATAAAATTACTTCGTTTACTTTTAAAGGAATTAATTTTTTAAGAATCGTTAAATTTTATTTTTCACAACAACTATTTTATCGTTGTAAAAAATAATAAATATAATCTAAGTAAAATTTTTCATAGCGTGTGGAAATTGTTTCGAAATTAGAATGAAATGAGGCGAACGATAATCGGTTCGTTAGGAGCGACATATATCAACGTTTCGTTCAAAATTTCTCGGAAAATTCGGTTCAAAGTATCGAATTATCCGCATCATTTAAATTCAAAACGAGAAAACGAGCGTGGCTCTCGTTAATTATTTGCGGGAAAGTGATTCAATGGCCATCGATAGATCGTACGTGGCGAATGAAACGCGACCACGAATAGCGGTCGATCGAAGAGAAGAGAGTTGACCGAGTGAAATTTATTTCGACGACGAGGAGCAAAACAAAACTTTCGACCATTGATTAAAATCAATCGCTTTGGAAACGTTGGAAACGAGGGAAGTAGAAAGGGAGAGAAGAAAGATGAAAGGAAAAATGATGGAAAAGGAAAGAAGAAGGGAAAGGGCGTCTTTCCTCATTCTTTCGGACAAAACTGGAACTCGAAACCATGGTGATGGTGATCAATTAATCGTATAAACATTCGAGAGACAAACGAGAAGAGAAGATTTTGGGAAGATCGAAGATATTGAATTAATCGTAGTTGATCAAAAAGCGAATAAAATAAAAGAAAGAAAGGTGTATCGAGTGTAAAAGTATCGGTCTTAGTGTCGTGCAAGGTGACTTTGCGATCGAGGAAGGGGTGAAGTTCTCATAAAAAATGCGCAAGTTAAAAATGGAGAATAAAAAGTTCTACGTGCGAAGCCTCGTGAAGCCTTCATAAGAAAATGGCTTTGTTAGATCGATGTATAATAACTAAAAGTCTATAAAGTAGATTTTTACATAAACTATTGCTTTTCTTTTAATCTCTTCAATATTTCAATGAAGCTTCAATCTTGTCTAATTATAAATGTAAATTTTTTTCGATTCGATTTTCAATTTTAATAATTTATCTATAATACCATATCTTTATCCAAATTGTTTACTCGTTAGAACAGAAATTTCTGCAATTCGGATGAGAGAAAGTTAATATGTAATTATTAATTTATTACATTCCCTGAAACTTTCCTACAAATAATATTTACAAATTTCTTATCTTCGATAGATGGTAAATTCTCGGATCGATTAATCATTATTAAAATTTCACACTTTCGATTTATTATTTTTTTTTTTTTTTTTTTTTTACGCGAGGAATCATCTTCTTCCTCGATTACACAAAGATTATACCTTCACGATATCAATCGAACCCGGAAATATCAAACCATAGCATTATATAACGAATGAACTATATCGAAACATCCCCGAGACATTTGCCTTCTTGTTATGCCACGCCAGCCAGCTGGTTAATTGATAATAGGCAATCGTCGATCTTCGAAATTAATACGGTATCATCGTCGAGAACAGAGAGAAATCGAGAACCATCCATCGCGCGATAATCGCGTGGAAACCGGAAAAGCTGACGGAAGAGGAGGGTGAAAACGCAACCCCCGCCGACTCCATCCGCTTTCTCCGCTCGCGGTTATTCGTTACTGGACCATCTGCGACGAAATTGCGGTGATAGCGTGACGATGACGTAATAACGTGATCAATTAACGTACAAGCAAATTTCACGTACAGTGTTTAAATTTATTAAATCTCTTAGCTAACGTTATGAATCGTTTCGAATCGACAGCTCGTTTCGAAATGATTTCGTAAATTAGTAGAGATTAATGAAAATATGAAAAATGGTTTATGCTTTTATCGATAACCGAGTATCTTTTCGAGAAGATACTCGTAGAAACATATGGAAGAAATTTTTTTGTCCAATCTTGAAAATTATTGATACGAAAAGATTATTTAAAATGTTATAGATTGGTTATAATGTTTAAGTATTATAGGATATCTAAGTAATTTATAATAAGATGTATTTCGTAATTTCATGAGAAATGTCAATCGGATGCATCACTTTATTTCGAAAGTGACGCAACTCGGAAATTCTCTGTAAAATATTTTTAAACATAAAAACATGTTATATCAAATTTATCGTTTTTGTATCATTTTCACTTTATAATCTTAAAGAACTTTTTTATAATTTCAATCAATCTTTTTTACAAAAAATCCTTCGAGATTAAACAATCAATACTATTCTCAAACCGAATGAAATTCATTTCAGTTTCCTTTTTTTTTCCCCTTCTTTCTTACTTAAAATCCATTAATACTTTATCAAATAAACAAGCATACCATACACCCCGAAGAAAATAACGCGAATCCTCGAAACACTTCCAAACTCTCTCCACCAAAATCTCGCAAAAACCAAGATTAAACATTCAATGCGCTCTCAAATCGAAAGAAATAATTAATTTCCGTTTTATTTTCTTTTTTCTTTTTTTTTTTTTTTTTTTTTTTTCTATCTTTCGAGTTAAAATCCATGATTTGTCAAATAAGCGAGCATCATCCAACTACGAGTATATACCAAAAGCGAGTGGCAAACAAGAGGCTACTACACCGTATTATTACTGGTGCTGCTCTCTCGGTTCTCCGTCACGCAGGACCGACTTTTGCCTTCGAGAGAATCACGAATCGTGAACGCAACGCTTCGCGTGCGAGCGCAAATGTACGTATACCCGTACATTTATAGACGTACACGTGGCCGGTGCAAGCGTGTATTGTGCACAGGCGTAGGCGAGAAACGTGACCCACCTGTGCGTACACGCACGTGGAAACACAAGCGCGCGGATTCACGGTGAAAGTATCGATATTCGCGCGGAATCGGAGCTGCTAGAATGCACAAGCAGCAACCGAGTTAATTCCTATCCCGCGTACGACCAGAGTTCACCGAACCTCGCGACTCATCCTTCTTCTTTCATTTTTCATTTTTTGATCTTTTTTCTTCTTCTTCTTCTTTCTTTTTCTTTTTTTTTTTTTTTTTTTTTTTTTACGTTCCTTCTACCTACCTTTGAAATCGTTGCGTTATTGAAGCAACGATATATATATATCATGCGCTTTTAATTATATCGAATTTCTGCCGAGTTCGATTATCGCTACTTTTGATTCTTGTTGTTATTGGATAAATTGTGTGGATATTCTTTTTTTCTTCTTTTTATATTCACTTTCGTTGAATATAAATATAAATGAAGGATGAAAAAGTGAAAATGTCATATTATGTATGTTTTAACGTACGTTTGAGTTTAATGAGTGGATTTCATGAATGGATTTAGAATCGTTATTTTTGATGCAATCGATTTATATGGATTTTACTTTTTTAATAGCTATCTCTGCGAGAATTTTTTTTTTTTAATCTCCTGACACCGTAACTCGTACGTGGATTAATGTTTCTGTATAATGAGACTTGTCGCGAAAAGTATATAACATTCAGAGTTATCAGATCTTCTTATCAGATCCAATTGGAGCTATTATTGTTGAGCATTTATACCAGTGTCAGAGTTATTAGACAAGAATTATAATAAACGTAACCCAATTGCTCTTAGACATGACTCACGGTATAAATACTCCACTTGTCTATGTAGAAAAATATCACGAAATTTCGTACCACGCTTAGCAAACACATTTCTACAAAAATATAGATCAAATAGAAATGTATCAAAATTGATAAAAAGGACACACAATGTCAGCAATTAATATGGAATATAATTAATCGGTAATAAAAATAATAAAAAAAAAAAGAACACCACAAAGTATAATATAAAAAAATACATTGATATAAAAATTCTATAATGCTAGAGAAAGTGTCCTCCTTATTAAGCTAAAAAAATCGTACACGAAGCGTGCACAATTTCCATCTTCTTTTTTTTGTTTTTTGTTTTCTTTTACAAAATTTCACTGTAATTCAGTTCAATCAATTAAATTAAAGTAAATACAACATCATCGTGAACGCATTGTCCTCGAGCGCTGCTTTAATAAAGATAATTGTCAAAGCTTGATAAAACCAATTCGAACGGAAAAAAAAGAAGAAGAAGAAAGGAAAACATTTCGCAACGATTTGTTCGAAGAG